CGTCAAGGGTCGTGGGGTTGACGACGACGACGTTTCGGTGAAAAAGGTGGTGGCTTTGATCGACGAGTACCTTCTTCGCGCTGTGAGCCGCGGTAGCTGGSAAGACGACAGCGTAATGGGTACAGGTACACGGACAGAAGGCAGTTGCACCCGTCCGCTAAGTGCGGACGAGTTCCGAGCCCTAGTGCAGTCCGTTCCTTTGGAGAGCAGGGCCAGTCACGACTTTCTTTTCCAGGCTGTCACAACTTGGATATCTGTGGCAGAAACCTATCTTCCGGCAATTGAGAGAAAGGAGGCGGTCTCCCAATTGTGTGAACTGGTAGATCCCTTCCTTCTATCCCCGGAGGTAGCAGAGCGTGCTTCCACAATGTGGGACTGTCTGCCTCTTCCCTTCATGGTACGGGTCCTGACAGCCATCAAGGCACACCTCACAGAGCTACTCGATAAGCAGCTGAGAGAGTTTGGCAAGGTGGAGAGAGAGTTTCATCACACAATGGAGGAGATGAAGGGGATGGAGGCGGACCTGGAGGGACTCCGGTTAAAACGCCTGGCTTCGGACGACACACTGGCCGGAATGAAGAGGGCTTTGGAAGAAGAGGCGAGAGAGACGGAGAATAGCGTTCGTCACCTCGAAGATCAGATAGCCGAGATGGAAAACAGCATCAGCAAGCTGCGAACGGAGAACGAAGAGGTTCGCGTGAAGAGCAAGCAGCGAAGAAGCTCTCTTTCTCTCTTCTTCTGCTTCAAGCCAAAATCAAACAATGGCGACTGAACGCTATTTGTTGGAATTTACTCTTTTTCTTTATTACCCCCTTTTGTGGGTAAATTACAGAGATACCGGTTCGCAAACGTATCGTACTACCGGTAGCAACTTTACCGGTCGGTGCAGGTATGGTGACAAACAAACACGTTTGCGAGCAGCCCAGCCTCTTTTGAGGTGGATTTGTCCAAAAGTACCGGTCAGTGACGTTTCAGTTGCGAATATACCGGGCAGGTACCTGGTTTTGCAACATAGGACCCGTGGGCCTTTTGGAGCCCTTGCCTCAGGCCAGGCCGACGGGACCCCTTCAACGAAAGCAGGTACCTACCGGTAAATCTGCAGAGAAACCTTCGAAAAGCGGTATATTCTGCAACTTCAGGGGTATATTCTGCAACTCAGGGGTATATTCTGCAACTTCAGGGGTATATTCTGCAACGTCAGGGGTATATTCTGCAACTTCAGGGGTATATTTGCCAGTTTACCTGCACGGGCTGGTAAAGTTGCTACGAAACGTTGGCGAAGTTCAACGGGTATTTCTGCAATATGCCCTTCTTTTCTCCGTTTTATTTTCAAAAAGACGGGGCGACGGCCTTGAGATATCAACTACACCTCACTCAGTATGAGCAATTGGGCGTAGGCACACCTACAGTTACAGATAGTTATGAACATAACAGAATAAGTTAATAAGTATATAGATGATAACTGACAGTCAATACGCCATAGTAAGGTATGATAACTGACAGTCAATACGCCATAGTAAGGTAAGGTGGGGCTCTTTACGGCGTGCCCCCCTCGTGCATATTGACAACCTTTGCTTGCATGTTTTCCTTCATCTCATTCATCACATTGTACCCGATTTCGGTGCTGCTCCCCACCAATACATGGGAAAAAAAGAAAGAGATATCATCATGGACCTGACCGGCCCCACGTAATTCAGAATGCATTTGTTCTGATCATTTGACTGTGTATCTGGATTCAAAATTGGGTCTGTATCTCGACAGTTGCTGGCAATTGGACTCCAACTTGGTAGTGTATCTCAATAGTTAGGGCCCTTAGGGGGTGTACCAACTGAGTTATAGGCCCGTTGGTTCTCTCTTTCTTCATCTGTTTGATACAGACGAGAGGTGGGTTTATTCTTGCGACAATTTTAGTGTGGACTCTGTGGAGGAATCGGTCTTGCAGCTGTGATGCCAGACTCTCTATTTGTGAGATGCTTTATGGATGCTTTGCAGTATTGTCAAGTGCTATTTGGTATTATCTAATGTTAATCTTTGTGACCAAAGAGTCGTGTTTTGTGTAGTGTTAGCCACGGATAGAAGAAGTATGTTGTTGTTGTTGTTGTTGTTGTTGCTTTCTTGTTCTTGTTCTTCTTCTTTTTGTATATAAGCATGTCTTTAGGTGAAGTTGAGGCTCCCCGGTATGCAGTAGGCCTTATGAGTGTGATGATAGGTAGGTGAGGGAAGTGAAGGACAAGTGGGAGAGATTCAAGGGAGTTATGAAAATGTAGAGGGAAGGAACGGAAAAAAAGAGGGAGGTTGTGGGTAAACGGGTGATTATGACCCAAGTAGGCACCCCTACACTCCCTACACTGCCTACTTGTCTACACTGTCTAGACTTCTTACTACACGGAGGATCTTCGGGAGGACAATTGGTACATACGGCCAGGCCGGGCCAGCTGGAAAGAGAACCTATGGCGTCAGTCACTCCAAGAGTCTTCAGGTTGGCTGCAAACTCCCGAAGGGTTTCCCGGGGTTAGCGACTCCCAAGAAGGGAGGTTGTGGGTAGATGGGTCACTACGGCCTGACTCCTGAGTACTAGGCACCCCTACACTGCCTGCTTGTCTTATACATCGAGGAACTTTGGCAGGATAAATGGTAGAAACGGCCAGCCGGATAAAATACCTATTGGGTCAGAAGATTTGCCAGTGCAGGGAGAGAGGTAGAGGAGGAGCAGGAAGAGGAGGAGGAGGTGGCGAAGGTAATGGAGGATTAAGCTGAGGAGGGACGACTGCTTAGAATGTTGAGCTCATGGAAACAATTTCAGTAAAGGAGTATTTGGCAGTTGGGTTCTGTGCTATTCATTGCATGCTCTGGGTTGCAAGGTGAGTTATCATGTTATGGCATTGAAGCTTTTTAACGGGAGCAGACTTTTATTCAAAGATCTTATTATTGCTGTAGTTTTCAGATCCGGTGCGTTATGTAAAGGGCAAAGTGCTGATATACAGGTTTCAAAATTAATTGTTAAAAAAATACCGCTCCTCGCAGGTATTGGGCAAAGAAACCCATTTTGGAGCAACCCAGCCTTTTTCGACATGAATCTGTCAGTGAGCAGATTTACCTGAAATATGCGGTCTCAGGTCTGGGGTCACTGTTGTGTTGCACAGCCAAAACTTGGGAGCAGGTCACTGCTTGGTTCTGGACCTGTATGGTGTTCCTGCTACCCGATTTGGCATCGTCTCGGTTGGGTTTCATGCACCTCCAACCCCCCTTTTATCTCGTGGTTTTCACCCAGATCACACCCTCATCGGGTTCCTTTTCTTCTGCTTTATTTTATAGAAGCCCAGGTAGTTGTAGATGCTGACAGTCGCCTTGGGTAGTCGGCCATTTGGTTATCCAGATGGTTTATCCTAGTGATCCTGGTGGAGTAGCCTGGTCCTGTTATTTGATTTCATTTATCTAGTTTGTCTGGAGGTCTGCAGTGTTACAGTGCATGTTGAGTGGAGTCAGTGGACCAGCTGAGCTAGGCCCTTGGAGACCTTTTCGCCCATCGATGCCCAATTTAACGATTGATGTTATTATATTGACCAGTCTGCTTCGAACTCCGAACTCGACGAAACTTTTTTAACTGCTTCCATGTGTCTGCCCGATCTGTCCATAACTCGGTCTGCTTGGAACCTCAAAGGTATGAAAAGTTGGAGGACTTTGTACCATCCATTGCCATTTGATGATTCGAGCTCAAGAAATGCAAGGACACTTCAGCAAAAAAAAAGTCCGGCTAGCTTAATTGGGAAAGACGTCTCTTGGACCACACAAATGTGTGGTTCTAGGTGCATATAAGTTCCAGTCTAAATTTTCTCTAAACCAGTTGCCCCATAGCCAGAAACAAGGTGTAGATCATTGGACCAGGAAGTTGGCAGGAACCAGTCCAGTGCGGGTTAATTGCTTGAAAACTAGTCTGTCAGTTTTAAATTGTTAATACTGTTAAGCGACTAAAGTTAGGTTTGACTTCGCTGATATTGAAACTCTTCCCGTACTCAGGGTGTGCATCCAGACCTCTCCTCTCCTCTTTTTCACCGTCCTCATCCTTCTAGGGGTGCCCATCCTGCACGTGCGGTAAAGCATTGAACGAATCGGATGTGTGTGTGTGTGTGCGCGCGCGTGCGCAAGAGAGAGAGAGAGAGAGAGAGAGAGAGAGAGAGAGAGAGAGAGAGAGAGAGAGAGAGAGAGAGAGAGAGAGAGAGAGAGAGAGAGAGAGAGAGAGGGAGGTGCATGGCCCTGCATGCTCATGCGTCCTGTTTGAATCCAGGCAAAAGACTTAGACTCACTTAGTCATGTGGGAAGATTGGTAGAAGGTTTTAACTGCAGTGCGAGGTCGGCTAGAAGATTATGCAGCTGTCCCATGATGAGAGGTGAGGCTCAATGGCTTTTGTATGTTTTTTCTCTGATTTGTTTTCTCTTTTCTGTGGTGGGGATCAACCAATCAATGGGTCAACCAAACACAGACACTCACACACACACCCCTTGGAAACCTGAGTGTGGTCATGCTGCATTCTTGCCCTGCTTTTTTATTTTATTTTTTATAGTGAAAACTTCATATTATGTGGGAACCTCTACAACGGTGGCACTCTTGTTGTTCTTCTCTTTTTTTGTCTGTGCATACCAATAGCTCAGAAACTGAGGCAGGTGTGCTGTGCATAAGAGGATTCGAAGGGCTGCACCCTTGTTGACATATTCTCTGGGCGTTGGTCAGGAACTCTGGGCAGACAAAAGAAACCAGTTTCCAGGTTGGGAAAGGTTCCGGAAAACTACATTGACTATTCAGAATGCTCTGCAATCTTTCGCCACCTTAATACCTTATGGATTTTCCGATCATTTTCGGATATTTCAACTAGAGACAGGGGAAGTCAAGGGAAGCAAGTTTCTGTCTGAAGCCCAATTCTATGCCTGCTCAGTATCTAGGACCCTGCTCAGAGTACTATGCTAGAGTCTAGACTACACACAGAGTGACACAGGTGCTCGAG